AGGACATTTTTGTTTTTTGAAAGTATGCATGTGTACATTTCCCTCTTTTAGCTTATAGAACCATAGAAATCTGGAACTGGAAGGAACTCTGAGGGTCATTTAATCCAACCAGCACACACTAGTCTCCCATCCAACAGGAAACCATACTGGACCCTGCTTAGCTTTGCAAATGTGCTAACAGTTTTATTGCTACACCACTAGGGGTTATGTAATGTCATGGTCATTCATTTCAATTAGTCTGGTCCAAATTAGAATGTGCTTGCCTTCAACCCAAACTCAAGTTGTTCTTTCATAGTCCTTTTGTGTGGAGTTTGATGTATGACTAAAAATAAATGTAGGAAGTTTACTTTATTTTCCTTTATAGACTCCAAATATTTACACATTTATTCCTACTAACTTAAACTATTTTGGAACATCTTCAGCTTATCATTCACTTGATAATTCAAATATTTATAGCATGGACTGCTTTCAGTTTTTGGCTCTGACTGTTAATGGTAAAAGACTGGAAATTAAGCCTTATGAGGAGCGCTTGAAGGAGACTGGGTATGTTTTGCCTGGAAAAGAGGAGATTGAGTGGAGATATGATAGCCATCTTCAAATATCTTAAGGACTGTCAGATGGAAGAGGGAGCATACTTGTTTTCTTCTGCTCTGGAGGGTAGGACTCAGATCAGTAGCTTCAAGTTATAAGAAAGGAGATTCTGACTAAACATTCAGAAAAAGCTTCTGGCAGTAAGAGCTGTTCGACAGTGGAACAGACTCTCAATAGAGATGGTGGACTCTCCTTCCTTGGAGGTTTTTAAGCAGAGGTTGGATGGCCACCTGTCATGGATGCTTTAGCTGAGATTCCTGCATTGCAGGGGGTTGGACCTAGATGACCCTTGGAGTCCTGTCCAACTCTGATTCTGTGATTGTTCCTCATAGCCATATCTAAAGTTACATTTCTGTGTTGACATTTTGAGAGATTTTAGGAAGTAGGTAGAATATGACTAACAATACTCATCTTGATAATGCAAAAGTAGCCAGATGTGATCTGAATTGTAGACTGTGGTAGATAAAATCTGGGGAGGTTAACCAGGCACTTTCTCAGGCTTCCATTTGACTGCTCATGTGTTCCCAAGTTGTGCGTCTTTGGTCATCATCTGATTGGTTTGTGGTGCGCCAGTTGTGGAATCTCCCCTAGGAGATAAGGATTAAGGATCCCTGGACGGTTAAGTCCAGTCAAAGGTGATTATGGGGTTGCAGTGCTCATCTTGCTTCAGGCCAAGAGAGCTGGCGTTTGCAGAGAGATTTCCGGGTCATGTGGCCAGCATGACCAAACCGCTTGTGGTGCAACGGGACACCGTAACGAGCGCCAGAGTGCATGGAAACACCGTTTATCTTCCTGCCACAGCAGTACAGTGGTATCTTGGGTTAAGTACTTAATTTGTTCCGGAGGTCCGTTCTTAACCTGAAACTGTTCTTAACTTGAGGTACCACCTTAGCTAATGGGGCCTCCTGCTGCTGCCGCGCCGCAGGAGCACGATTTCTGTTCTCATCCTGAAGCAAAGTTCTTAACCTGAGGTACTATTTCTGGGTTAGCGGAGTCTGTAACCTGAAGCATATGTAAGCTGAGGTACCACTGTACCTATTTATCTACTCGCATTGGTATGCTTTTGAACTGCTAGGTTGGAGCTGGGACAGAGTGACGGGAGCTCTTTCCGACTGGCAAGTCCAAGAGGTTCAGTGGTTTGGACCGCAGTGCCACCCACAACCCCAGGACATTTTGGCACCTACCAGGCCTTTCCAAGTTGCTTCTGGCATTAGTGTTTATTGTTTGGAAAGCATTGAGTTGGTCCCAGAAGATGGTTTCTGTGATGGTTCTTTAATTTATTTTAGGCATGTTTCTTATTTGTTCTTGTTTGTCTGTTAGGTTTCTTGCATTTTTATTAATTTGTAGGCCGCCCTGAGATCCTAGGATGGATAAAAATAGATGAAATAAATAACTCAAAATCATGAAAGTGTTGCCTGCTAAAATGAAGTCTTTTCAGGTTCTAAAATCATTTCTGACATGTGTTTGGAAATACTTGATTCGTTTCAAGGTCCCCTATGGTGATTGTGTGTTAGTCTGAAGGGCTCTGATGATGAACAAAATGGAGCCTGCCTTCCTTCCTTCATTTCATTCTTGTTTTCAGTAGTTGCTTTAGCAATGAAGGCGTGAATACTCTGAGTGTGTTTTGTGTATCTATATTCGCTCAAAAGCCTCTCCTTGTCTGTGGTTACCTGATGTGTGAAAACACCCCATGCTTACATACCACAAAAGAAGTTCTCATGTAAGCTTTTTTTTTTTCTAAATAGGGATTTTATTGCAGGTTTAAAAAACCCGTAGAGATACTAGTTCTGATTTTGGTGATGCTTCTCCTTTTGAGGCCACATTTCCTGAACTTGTGTTCTCCCTTCCTGCTTTATACCAAAGGCAAGGTTGAGTTGGACCTGGTCAGCTGGGCTTGGCTGCCCGCATCTTGGGCTGTAGTAATCACTGAACTTGATTGTCAAGGTCAGAAGGTGATATATACATATACATATATATATATATATATATACACACACACACACACACACATATATATATATATATATATATATATATATATATGTTTCATTTTGAGTTCTTTGACTTGTTGCAATCAGGTTTTCTCCATACATGAAAATTTGGAAGTATGATGATGTAACCAAAAATGCAGTTTGGTGTCGTCTGTGTCAGGAGTGGTCATGTAAATTCTGGGCCAGGCTGTTCTTAGGTTTGGCGCAGTGGTGAACTGAATGAGGTTGGATCCTGTTAAAACAAAGACCTTGTGGGTGGTGGTGGGCTTCCTGGGTCTGAGAATTGGGTAATTTGCTTGTTCTAGACAGGGTTGAAGGAACAAGTGCTTTTCCTTTCAAAGTCACCACTGGGGACTGAAGTGACTTGGAACACGTTTCACCAGCTTTAGATGTGGTAGCTCTCACCATGCCTGAACTGCAGTAGCCTTGCAACTCATGCATTAGTACTTTATAAAGCCCTTGAGGCGAGTCTGGAGGCTGCAACTGGAGCAGGATGCCATGGCTGGGTTGCTAAGTGCAGCCATTTACAACAAGCATGAAACACTGCTTTCAAAAGAATTGCATTGGCTGCCAGCTGGCTACTGGGCCAGGTTTAGGGCAGTGATGTGTTTGCAGCACTTGTTGAAAACCAACTTCTTGACTCAGGCCTTGGAGCTCATTAGTATGCCTTTTTGCATTTTAGTTAATTATGTATGTGACTGTATTTATTGCTCTTGTTTTCAATGCACTGTTGTTAATGAACTTCTATTTTAGTTGGCTGTAAACTGCCTTACTGTTTTCAAATAATGGGTGGTGCCTGAATGGTTTTAAATAAATAAATAGGAACAAGGGTAAGAAGTATTTCCTCTCCAGTGAATACACTTGATAATAACCATCTCAAAATGCTTTCAATGCCTGCTTCTGCATTCAAGAATTGAGCCCTTCTTAGAAGGATGACAAAAGGCTGCCACTATATTATACAACTATGCAGGGCTTTTTTCAGCTGGAACTCACAGGAACTCAGTTTCACCACCTCTCGTGTGGGTTCTGGCACCTGTCAGGTGGGCGCCAATGCCATTCTAAGAACGAGGGAGAAGTTCATGGTGAGTTCCGGCACCTCTTTTTCTAGAAAAATAGCACCGCAAGAATCAGTGCCCAGGCTTGCTCCTCATGCAGATTTATGCATGCATGTTTAAATGGAACTTACTCACAGGTAAGTGTGAAAAAGCTTAGCGCCTTAACTCAATCAAACTAGACAATTTCTTCAACTAAGAACGACTGCATTCCTATTGCTTTCTGAGTCATAACTATATGGTTTCCACGCTTGCCTTCTGGGGTAGGTTAGCATGATGGGCCAACATACATTCTCCATGGCTTTTTATACCATGACTGTTCTGTTTCCTCTTGGGGTGTGCAGTGTAAAATATCACACATCCCAGTTCTCTTTGTGGCTGTGAGGCCACAGCCTCCACCCTACCGACACCCCACATATTACTGTGTGCAATGCATCCCTGTGTGCCATAAGCTTTACTGCAACCTTCTGGAGAAATGTTCTCCTTGGTGTTATGTTTCTTTTTTCAACTTGTATGCCTGAGTCTCCAAATCCCCATATTCATTTTAGCTTGCAATTCCCCTTGCCACTTTATTTAGGAAGGTATTGAACAAAAATGAAAGGCTAACTAGATGATGAGAAGCCACTAACCCACTACTGGCCTCTAGCATCACCAGTATAGAAACAGTAAATAAGGCATATGGTAATGCTGTGGTTAATCCATCAACTGTGCTTTCAATTGCATCCTCAGGCCAGGGATGCAGATTTACTGTCTTAGAAAAGCATTTCTGAAAGCTGAGGGACCCGTTTCCCCTTGCCTTTTCAGAGTTTGGACCCAGAATCAACAAATCAAAATACAACAAGAGCAGCATATGCTCTCTGCAAAGACTTAATAAAACATTTTGGTACTTGTAGGCACTGACAGAAAAAAGCTGTGTGGAAATTTAATACTGCAGAGGGATGGTGAAATAGAACGAAAAAAAGAGTAATAAAAAAAAAATCTACCAGCTATAGGTTGAGGCTGTGTGTTGACGATAGAAGTGCAGTTGGGGGGTGTTATGAGTTGTGATTGCTATCTATTGAGGGGAGAGCAGATAGAGCTGAAGGCCACTGGGCCTTGTCAGTGTTTTTGTGTTGCACAGATAAAATGGGCTACAGAAGATTAATGTCATCACCGAGAGTCTGAGCCACTCAGTTTGATGACACTTGGCCTTCAGCCGTGCTTCAGTTCTTCCTCCTCTTCTTCCTTTTTTCAGGTGAGAAGTTCAGCGAGTGCAGTTTCTCCCGTCACGGTACTATTGTGTGAAATCCTGATGCTAGATGAAAGGAAGTTTGTAAAAATATTTATTTAGTGGCCAGACTTGTCACTGCTTGCGTCTATTAGAGAAGGGCCATGGCTTAGTGGTAGAGCATGATGTGCTTTGCATGCAGAAGGTGCCAGGTTCATTCCTTGGCATGTCCAGGTAGGGCGGGCGGAGACTCCCGTCTGAAATCCTGGAAAGCCATTCCTAGTTGGGTGTGTTCTGTGCTGGGCCTTGGAGCCTGATTTGGCATAAGGCAGGTTCCTGTGTTTCTATGAATTAGCAACCTTTTGGAACTTAAGGCAGTTTTGTTTGGCTTAATTGCTTTTCTTCATTGGAAGGATCTTTTTTATACTGGTGAGGAGACGGTGTCTTAACACTGTAGGAAAAGAGAGTTTAGCTAAGAAGTGACTGAAGGTGTAGTTTCAGCACAGAAGAAGAGAGGAGCAACACCAAAAAATAAAAAAACTGCAAAGCTCAACAGTGGAATTTATTTGCATGGCTTAATGTTCAAACATGAAATCTTCACCAGAAGCGTCTTGCATTCCCTGTAGACGTAGGCCAGTCAGTAACCACAGCAGTTTGCAAGCTCTATTCAAGCATAAAACAAGTTGCAATCTCTTTGCCTCCAGTGAAAGACAATGGCTGTGTTCAGACTACCATATTTCAACTTGGGCACAAGTCATTTTGCTTTGCATGTAGCCCCTTCTCTTCTTCCTTCATGTGTACTTGAATGAAATAAGTCTCCAGTTAGGGTCGTAAACCAAGGGGAACCTTGATCCCACAGATGTTGCTGGACTCCCATCGCCACTTGCCATTGGCCACACTGGCTGGGGTTGATGAGAGTTGTAGTCCAACAACATCTGGAGGTTCACTGTCTTAAAAAACCCTTCAAACTATGATTTAAGATCCTGGCTTGTTTCATAGCTAGTAACCATAGTTTCCAAGTTTGCTTGAAATGGTTCGGTGGAGACTTCTCATTTCATATAGATGAGGAGAGAACATATTGTGCATGTTGGCAAAAGACTCTAGCATATCTTGGTTTATTAAATTGAGATAGGATCTTTTGAACCCAACCCTATATGTTGAAATGCATTGAGTACATTAAATATTGTAAGTCAATGCTACTTTTGAGTACTGGCTTGAGACTTTTCTGCTTCTGTGTTTGTTTTTTTAAAATGTAGTTTCTTATTGGCCACAGAAAAAATATTTTAACATGCATAGTAGAATTCTAGTTCCAAGTGATTGTTCCCATCTCATGTATTAATCCTTTGAGGAACTACTTCTGTAGCCAGCAAAATACCTGAGAACACAATCATGGGGTATTCTTGTTTTTACTGTATTCTAGTTCAAAAAAACATAGAAATTGCAACTGGATTTAGAAAGTGTGGAGAAAAGCACTTGAGGGAATGGTTTGGCAAGAAAGGAGAATCTGATCAGGGAAGAATATTGTAGTTTGACGGTTGTGAATGAAAAGATAAAAATAACCCATCAGTTGAAATAACAAGGATGGAGGAGTCTAGGTTGATGTGAGGAGTAGGAGTGTTAAGTGATACTATTCAAGCTTAAAACAAGATCTGAAACAAATATTGGCAGAGATCTTTGATAAATTAGGAGTTTTTATTCAAGTAAATGAATATTTTGACTATGAGTGAAAAGCAGTGTTTGCTTTATCTCTACAATTAAAGTAGTATGTGTAGGACTTTTCTGCAGTAAGTGATTCTGTGCAGATCACAGTGTTCCCAGGTACTTAAGTACATTGTCTCTTTGTGTGTTTGCATATGTGAATTATGTTTAGTGCAATGTAATTATATATTTATGCCTTATTAGTCGTCATAAAAGACAAAATGGGCCTTGTTAACTCACTGGGGTGGTGATTTGGTCCTTGCGCCATCAGCCTTTACCTGACACAGCTGTCTTGTAATTAACAATTGCTGCGGGGGTGGGGGGGCGGGGGCTTTGTGCTTCCTTACTGCAGACACACACCCAACTTGTGGATGGCAACTGGGGCGGAGGCTAGCATGGGATGTGACTGCAGGGGTGGGGGCCAGTGGGGAATTGCTAATTCCTGGTGGTTCTCTAACTAAGCCATGGCAGGTTTTCTGTCACAAGCTGGTCTACAAGTGTGAAATGCAGACCAGAAGACACTGTCAGAATGGACACTGAATAGCACAAGTGAGAAATCTGTGGCCCAAGGCAGCAATTTATGGGTTGGCAAATAGTAATAATTTTCAACCTGTTTCTCAAATGTTACTTTTTTGTTGCACACAAGCTGTACATGATTGGCACATAGGTAGCAATTTAACATGCTATTTCTAAATGCCCCCAAAGGCTTCTGTGAGCCGGTATTAGGGCCAAGTGGTTTTTCCTCTGTACTTAACAGCCATGCCAGAACTGGCTTGGCTAGGAACTGGCCTAGCAGAAAAAAAGCAGAGCCCAAAGTTAGGAAATTGTGAATGTTGAAATGGATGCAGACACCAAACAGGGGGAAATGGGGATGGGGAGTCTCAGACAAATGGGAGGATCCTAATCTCACAGGAGTGACCAAAGCACTTTTGGATTTCTGTGAGGGAGGAGAGACAATCTGTTTAAGATGCATTACCTCCCTGCCTACCCCCAACCCCAGTTTCTGGTGAACTGATGGAGGACGACTTGCTCCTCAAGTATTTGTAATCAGCAGTGCAAGATCTGGTAGCTGACGAGTCTCATTGCCCACTGAGATCCAGGGAGAAAGATGCAGCTGCGCTTACATGCTCCCATTCAATGTATCAAAGCCATTTGAGGCATGGCTGTCGCTGTAGCAGGGATGCTGTGGCCTTCACCTTTCATTACTCTTACGCTGCGATTTGCACCTTCCCGATGTTGCACAGTGCTACTGCTGGTGAAATAAGTTGTGGGTAAGGATAGAGTAAATGGAGAGGAGGGGGAGGGAAAGAGAAAAGGGGGACAGATAGTGGGTGCAGGAGAGAGAGCCACATGCATTGTACAGGGGATGAGGGAACCTAGAAGAACAGGAGAAAGTAGGAGAGCGATTGGACGGATACATACGGATTGGACGGAAGAAGGCCCACCCCTTTCTCTGTACCTGAAAGCACTCTTTTCCCACCCCATTCTGTGTTCATGAGAATGCCATGGCGATAAGCAGCATGGTGGGTGGGTGGTCAAGAGAGAAATAAAACCTTCTATTTATTGATTTTGGGCCTGTGCGCTTCCTTGCGCCACTATAAGCAGTTTTGGCAAACTAGCCCCCATAGTTATGCAGGCACAAAAGGCAGCGCGCATCAGGCGTAAGTCAATCAAAGTCTACACTGGAGTCGTGGTCTGAGGGAGGCTTGCAGAGAACAAGGAACAATGGGGAGAAATTACTTAATTAGTTTTCTCTACACGTCTCCGATTTCCCCGCAGTACCATTCACTCTGTATGACAGCCTTCCCATTTCACAGTACTCCCTTTGAAAGATGGCAGTGTATTAGCATGTGAGACAACTGAGTGCAAGGGGAGAGAGTTCACCACAACAGTGGCACTGTCTGCATTCTTCTTCTTCTTCTTTTTTTTTAAAGAGAGAGGGGATATATCTACATATATATATATACTAGATCTAGATCACATATGACGCGGCACAAAGTAAGATAAAAGCTCGGAGCTGGACAAGGCCGCGGTGGCAGGCAAAAACGGTTCAAGCACATATATATCTACTTCAAATCTACCACATGCAGAGTTTAAAATGACTGTGTGCGTCTAAAGTTTAAGTCTACATCTTTGTCATGTTTATTAAGAGAGGCGTATGTGTGGTTGACTTCCAATTTTGTGGCTTATTCACATGTTTTTGAAATAAATGACTAAGAGTCTCTCCAGGGAACTTGGCAATGACTCCACAGCATTCCCAGGCTTGTCTTGTGGGAAATGTCAGCTTTGGCCCTCTGCAAGTTGGGTTCAACTTATAGGTCTTGGCCATGTGTGTGGGCTTCAGGAAGTCTTCCTGTTCCAGTCACAGCACCCAGAGGGAGAGAGACTCCCTGGTGTGACTCTCTGGGCACCCACACTACTGTCCTTTTCCTGCTGGATGAGCACCTTCCCGTCCTCCCAGGCCTTTGAATAACAATCCACCCGGTTCCTCATTTCTTGCACCAAGTTCCCCTTTGCTGCCTTTTGTGGTTTCAGGTGCTTTAAATAGTTTTCATGGCTGGGTTTTATGCTTATTTTAAGTTGTATTTTATTTTGGTTCTGAATCATATTTTTTTCTGAATCACTTCTTAACTTCATTGTTTGTGTGAGCTGCCCTGTGAACTTGGTTGGATGGGCGGTGTGCAGATATAATTAAGAATAAGAATATAATTAAGAAGAAGTTGGGGATAATAATGTGACTTGCCACATCGAGCTCCTGGGGACCAAACTGGTAAGGGAAGAATTATTATTACCCATCCTCTGTCCACCAGGTAACGTGGGAAGGAACTGAGAAACTTGAGAGCATTACACCTGAAGGTAATCTGAAGGTAGCAGGCCTCACAGGAAGGCCTGCAGTAAGTCTCAGTTTGTGTAGTAGCAGAAATCACAGCGGCAGTTAAAAACAATAAACAAGCAATAATGTGGTTTTCTGATTGTCTGTCTTCTCATCTCTGGATGCCTCATGGTTAGTGTGACCAAAGTCTGACGAAAGTGGTTCTTTCTTCCCCTCACATACCTCCATCCATTTTGATGTTATGGTGAATTATAATGCTTCACCCCCACATGCCCCTCCCTTTTATCTGTTTTTAAGTCCTAAAGATAAATTTGTTTTTGACTTTTGGGAGGATCAGCAGAAGGAGACTGGTGCATAATCAGAGCTTCTTTTGTGTCTGCCTCGTTGACATGTAAAGAGATTTTGGTGTTATACTTGCAGCTGCTCTTGGGGCTGCAGTGGTTGGGACAGGAAGGAAGTCTTCCCCATTCTAAGAACAGGCAACAAATTTTTCAACAAGGCGGTAGCAGAGGATCTGTGAGTGATGTGTACTTTAACTTGCAAAGGAGGAATTCACATATCTCTGCTGCAGGTGGAGCAGAGATGCTAGTTTTCCTCCTTTCTGTGTCAGGATGGAAACACAGAGCAATTCGCCTATCCTGTCACCGCTTCTCTGCATATCTACGCTCTCCCTGAATAAGTGACTGAAGTGATCTGCCATCC